GTGCAAGAGGGGAGGGGGTCGAGGCGCAGAAAAAGGGAGAACGCGAAGGGACGCGGGGTTGCGCGCGTGCGCGCTGACGCAACAATATGGTGAATTCTGTACGAAGCAGCCCAGTATCCACCCGACCATCAGCTGATCAATATACTTCCGCACACACGCCACGTCATACGCGCGACACGCATGTCACGCATCGTGCAAGCCGTTACGCGTGCGACACTCTGCGAACGTGTGAACGTGCACGAACGTCTGTGCACGCGGTTATCCGTCCTCAGGGACCAGGAACGCCAGTCCTCCATCAGCTCGACGAGAACTCGCGGTGGAGGAGTTCCAGGAGGTACGTCCAGAGGACATCTCTCTGCGTTTCGCGTATGCCGAACGCCTGACCACCGCAGTCGATTCCGTGAGTTCCTTCCCCCCCCCCCCCCCCCGTGCCATTTGGGTCAGTTTTCCGCGAGTTTCGGGTGTTTGCATCGGCGACCTCTGGACCGACGACTGGAGACCTCTCGCCACGAGGTCCGGACGACGCGTCTGCAAGGGAATTCGATGTTTTCCGTGTATCGACCCAGTTGTCGATACCTTTGGATCGAAGTCGTTCATCAGGTTGCTCAGGGAGGATTTGTTGGTTCGGGTGTTGTGCGATTGTGATCTTGGAACGTCGTTCGACTCAGTGATCTCGTTTCCAAGGATGTGTTCCACTGTCCAGGTTTCCGCTAGAGCTGAGGCGATTCAGTGAGTCTTTGTGTGTTTTTTTTGGAATCTTCTTGCGAACGAATTCTAACTAGGTGATGAACTCGAGGATTTACCGCGTATGGAGGACTATGGGGCACGAGGAAGGATTCGTTGCTTTGGTATCTCGCGATTGGGATGCTCGAGGACGTACAGTCGTTCGTCTACATTCCACGTTCTCTCGTCTATCCCTTAGGAGTCGTTTTACGAACGTCTAGACTCGCGTGTACGAGAATTCGTTGTTTCTTTTGCGGCTCGTGTTGCTACGGTGTCGTGTGGTTATTTCTTGAACAGGTAGCGATCGTCTCAGGTGTTAAGTAGATGCACCGTAGGTTGGAGAACTTGTGTTTCTTGCTGAAATTAAGATTAACTTATTCAAATAAAATGATTAGAGGGTAGACAGTATTATCGTCAAGTGGGGAGACGTAACGTGAAATTATCACGAACACTAATTTTGGATAACGTCCTTAGAAATGGTGCAGAACAGTGTCTCTGACGGTCCGGTTGCCAGGTGGCTGTGAATACTTAGAGTTGCGCAGGGGTGGGCTGTAGGGGAGGTTCGAAGAGACACTACTACTCGAGTCACGCTATTAATTAATGCGTATAATTGAACCAGGATTCTCGAGTTCTCGCGCTTCGTCTGTAGTAGTCATCTCTTAACTCTGTAACTGTTATTCTAATCGTTATCTAATTTAGTTCTGTGACAATTTTAATCCAAGCGAATTTTTGTCTAAGGGTTAGTAGATTTGGCACGACACTTACAGTTAATAAAACCAGGAACAGATTGAAATATAAAATTCTGTAATTCATATAGCATTTAAAGTTGTACACCACTGACTTCGAACAGAAGATCAAAGCTGCCCTAAAATCTGTGCACGTATTTCACAAATTTCTGTAACACGAAACGTGCGTCCCTCGGTTCTATTGTAACAACGAAATCCCTATCTGTGCGAGTGACATCAATGCTTCCCTTTTCACCAATGCGTCACGCGTCGTTCCCTTCGACCTCTTCGACCTCGTCCTCACCTCAGCGTTCGATCCGTCTTCGTTTCATTATTAAAAAAGTGTCGCACGAGCAGAATATTTCCGAGTCCGTGACGTTCGATGGGGAAATCGCAAGTCACGTTTCGCATCGAACTCCAATCGAACACGGTTGCAAACAGAGGCGGGCAACATTTTCTTCGAATAATAGATGACGAATAAAGCCACCGTGCAACGATTCCGTTTGTCACGTTTATTCCATTGGACAGGTGTTCAGTCAACTATTCGTTCGACGGGATATTTTATTTTATTGTTCAACCCGTAATTTGTATTGAAAAAATAACACATCTTTATTTTATATAGTTATAAGGTATGTTCGTATCGAAAAGTTGGAACACTCAGCTTGAATTTAAAATACAAGCTCAGCACTAAATTCATCGGGAGTGACCTCACAGCAACTCGCATAGTAATAGTCAGATTTTGATCCTTCAACTTCCATCATTGTTTAATACCCGAGAAAGGGGATAGTCTGCTTTGGACGTGCCATGGGAAAGGTTCAACAGCATCAAATAAGTTAGCACAGCTAGCTTTCAGTTTGAAAGTTTGCCACGTTGAAGAGAACATTCTCGTTTATACGCTACAATTATTAATCCAAAATCCGCAGCTGCTTCAAATAGAATCGCGTACCATTTTTGACCGTCGAAAAACAGAAATGATCGTTAAATACGCGGTCGCATTCGAAAATTACGCGAAAAGCGTTCAGCTGGATTTAAAGTTCGTCGATAGACGCAACTGAATTATTCACCGGTCCCCTTAAACGCGTCTAGATAATTTCTGAACTCGGCTGGCATTAACGTTTTCGTGGTGAGTGGGCGGGATAGTATTTTCGGAACTCCTGGTGCAACATCCGAAGCTCGCTTGCGCGCGATAAAGTTGAATGGGATTTAAATTTAATCCTGAAATTTCGAACTGGTTCATTTGACGCGACGGGAACAGCTCGTTTTTCGCCGAACGAGCAGCTCTTTTTTGGGGAGGGAGGACTTGTCCCGTGAAAATTAGTCCGGCGCGAGTATAATCGGGAACTGTAACGGGAGGTTGGGCGTAAAGAGCGCGGAGGTCGGGATGTTTATCATAAAATGATTTGGCTCCCTTCGAGCGGAAATATAATATTAACCGTAGAAGTTAAATTAAATTAATTCGTTGATTACGTACTCGTTATTATTAAATAAAATTGATCGGATAGGTCACTTTCTTGTTAATATCTTCCACAAAAACGATTCTTTTGGAGAATGTATCATTGAACTTTCTTCTAGTAAATATAAAATAAAACAATTCTGATTATCCAAAATCGATAGAAAAATGAATAACGATCGTGCGAGTAAATTTCAATCATGACTTCTCCCAGAAATAACTTTTCCTCGAAATGATTCAAGAGAAAGGAACAGCCATTAATGCAAATTGAAAAGACATCAGTTTTCCGTCATAGCTACGCAGTGCAATAATTGCTGCCATCAATTGAAATTATTGGAAACCGTCGCGGTTCGATTGAATCGCGAATCGAGCACGTCGAATTTTTTTCTCGTGAGCTTTGAAAGTTTGCATTCTGAGCGCACTGCGAAGGTGCGCCTAGAGGAATGCTTTCAAGCGAATGCGGGAGTTCCTCGGGGTAGTTTCGCGGAGGAACACGAATTTCTGTCGATGAATAGGATTCAAAACCGTTTGCTGTGCCCGTTCCAAGCTTCTCTTTCGACGCTTTTGATCTCAGGAATGACTCTTCCGCGAGCTCGCTTCGCGGAACATCTTCGCTTTCCGTAGGTTTTCCCCCGAACTAGGCTCGTCTCGCGAGCCAAAACTCTCGGGTTACGGAGCATGCTCGCGTAATATGTCGATCTAGAAACAGTGGGCAAACTTTGATTAAGCGAAGGCGCGTTGTTTGCTCAGAAACGTATTCCTGGAACTCGTGAACCCCAGAATGTCGTAAACGAAGTTTATCTACAGACATTGTTTGCTCGTACTATCGTCGTTATCGGGCTAATTAGCTGAATACTTGACAGTGTCTTCTAGAGGGGAGCTTGGGTCGTACCATGGACTAATTTGGTAAAAGTGAAGAAAATGGACTTTTTCCGTTGCAGTAGATAATGTTAGAGGTTCTGAATTCTTGCAGGAAAAATTTGATATTTGAGTGTGAAAAAATCGACAGGGATCTTTGGTAGAATTTTAACCGGTTTTCTACCGTTTGAAGTAAAAGATTGCGGTCTTCGCAACTTTGACTACTTTGTGGCCTTTGGGTTAAAAATTGCACGACGAAAGGTTGATAAAGTATCACAGGAAAATTGCCCGATGGAAAGATTCGAGGCAGGCTATGTTTTCTTAAACGAGCCCCTGCACAGCCTGGCCTAGTTACTAAAATAGAGCGATTTCAGTTACTCGACATCCCCAATATAAAACATCCCTTATGAAAAAAAAGAAAAGTAACACGTACCAAGCATGTATGAAAATTTGTCTCTCCTCTCTTTCTATCTTTCTAAAGAACGATCCGTTCCTATCCGGATCCGATCCGTATCTGTGTGTTTATTGGATAGGTGGTATTTAGTATTTAATTACACATGTTTAACATTGATTACGTATATTTATTTAAGAATTTAAGTTAAATCTCACACGTATTTGGTATAATTCTAAGCCAATTATTTTTCCTTCCGAATATTAAGTTACCCGAACAGCCTCATGGAAAATCTCGCGAAGAAAATGAAGAGGGGTGGGGGGGTGGGTGGGGGAAGAGGCATCGAGAGAAGCCCGCAACCGTGAAATTCTCTCGCCGCGTGGCGATTGCGGTGAAGTCGTTCATTGACTTCTCTCCCCCTCGATGTTCTCCCCGCGTCCTCCTACCCCTCCGCGCGGATGCATCCGGATTATTCGTTCACGTTGTAACTCGCGACCGAGTGCACTTACGTACACACACGTGCGTTTTCATTCCTCCCCTCCGTCGCTCGATCAGCCTCCCCTCCTCGCGTCTCATCCGCGTGCTCCCCTCTTGCGCGTTACCCCTCCATCGTGTCTCCTCTTCGGGACGAAGAGGTAGGAGTGGGCCGGCGAGCGGGAGGAGGGGGCGGAAGAGTAGACCGAGACTACTCCGTTGGAAGAAGCAGGCTCACCACTTGGCAAAGTTACTCGTGTTCTGCGTCTAGTGTCGGTTCTGGCCTGTAGCAACTCCATTCTCCCGCGTCCCTGGTCCCGGATCCTTGGTCGCGCAGGATACACGTCGCGGCAGGTCTTGAGGATACTCGAGGTACGACCATGACCTAGCTCGGAATTTTCGACCTCGACGGTGTCGAGGCCTCGGTATCGAGACTCTCTTGCTTTCATCGAAAGGATTACTCGAGGGCCACTGGATATCGCGGGAGTCCTGAGCCAAGAGTTTCTAAACTCGATGGATCGTTGGATGTTCTACGATAGTTCCCGAAGACGAGGATAGCTCTGAGGGTACAGTTGAGACGCGACGTGACATGACCTGGACAACTGTGGATCGAATTTCTCTTTAGATAGTTGGAGTTTGGTATCTCGAGGTACCAGTTCAGGGAAGGGCTATGTCTTAGTCCTTGGTGAATAGATATCGGAGATTCCACGGTATTGTGATAATTCCGACTGCAGCAAAGACTTAGTGACTCGGTTGGAGCTTAGAGAAACATCAGGTGTTTACTCTCCGCAGCAGAATCATTCGATTGCTTCGAGATTCTAGCATTGGAATCCTGTCAAGAAACCTGTAGACGGATCAACAACGCAATCCACTTCGACGGTGGTTTCTAAATACCAGTTACGATCGCCACTTGAGGAACGATACGTGACCTTAACGCTACTTTCTCGAACTCGAACCTCTCAGCTTTGCGTTTCTGGCTGCACATATCCCATCTTCTCTGTCCACCTCAACCGAAGGATTCATTACGCACCATAACCTGGTCCAACGGTGTTCGACTCAACAACTCTCAAGAAGGATTCTCTCTATCACGCACGTGGCGATTCCCGACAGTGAATCGTCGATTCTAAGCATCGGCAGGTTTCCAGCGTCACTAGGATTGCGCAACGTAGTTGAGGTCGCGCGGAATGCGTTAGAATACTTTGCTTACCGCGTGGGATTGGCACACAAGCTCGTGGTAGTCCCGTCGTGTTTGCAACGGGTGGCTTTGAGCGCGAGAAGTCGCGATAACGATAACGAAGGCAAGTAGGTCGCAACTCACTGAGACGACTGGAAAAATGAACGTCAAATGTTGACTCGAGGAAGTCACTTTGCCATTGTTGCTCGTTGTACAAACTGTTAGCCTAAGCGCGAAACACACTATGAGAGCGATGGAAGGCTATCGCAAAGACATTATGATAGTGGATTCACTCTTGGACGGTAATAAATAATCGCTGGGGAATTCTGAATGTCTGCGACGACAAACCGATGTACACGGAAGACGTACTACTACGTTAACGAGATTTGAGTCACGAGTGTACGTAGCGCTGCGTCATCGCAACAGAGTGTTACAAATAGACGGTGTAACGCATGCAATGGAAGGTCTGAGGTACCACTGCAAAACCATCGATGGGGATTAAAGCGACACTTGTTTGACGCGCGGATCTGTATTTAATCTTGTCACCTGGTCTCGTGGAAGACGCATCGCTACGTAAGGGAATCTCCGACTTTCACTTGTCCAAAGGACACAGTGCTTCGTATCTCGGTGGATTGCGATCACGAGAGCCTAGTGTCGTTTTGGAAGAAGCTTGATGAATGATACCAGGACGTTGGTGTGCTAGTGTTTCGTAGCTAGTTTACAGAAAAAGGATCGAGTCGACACTTGTTTGATCGTGGGATCTATCTTCATTGTAGTCTAACGCGAGACGTATCGCTCCGCTGAGGAATCTCAACTTTCACTCACGAGAAGAAGTACTGGTGTTGTTTCCGAAGGTTTCCGTAGCTAGTTCCATCAGATACTCCAGGATGCACTGGAGCGCTCGTTAACTGTGTTAGGGACCGTTCAACGCAATTGTTTTGTTTGGCTTTTCGTCAATAGAGAGACAGGTGCCAATCCGAGAATTTTCTCTACTTAACTTTTCCCAGGGATTCTTCGTTGACTGTTTTATCTCCTGAAGTCGTACTTTAGGGCGTATTGATATTAGCTTGACGCTTATGATCGTATCAGGGGTCATTAACCGCCAGCTGTCTTATTATTCAGCTCAGCAGACTTTGCTCCTCTGCTGTCCGTTAGCTCTGGGTCTATTCGTCTATTTATCTTTAGAATATTCTTCTCCAAAGGTGGACTAGTTTTAATTTGTTTCTAGAAGCTTGAGTGGGGGCATTTAATCTCTGAAATCCTCAGGAACGAGTGTACACCTTGGATAAAAACCTTTCACATAACAACATATTAATCTAGCTTGACATCAACTGCATACAGTCAGTCCCATAAGTATTTGTACCTTCTATGTCTATTGAAGACATTTGTCATAAATATATACATGTGCAAACTTCATTCATATTTACATCTATAATGATTTTTTTTTTGTTGAATCTTCGAGCCAATTACTTAATTTAGATAAATTTCATCAATCGACATAGAGGGTACGAATATTTATAGGACTGACTGTACATCGAAAGCTCCATTTCCAAAAATTGAGCACTTACAACCAACAGTCTGGATCAGTCCCCGGATGTAAATCCCAGAACTGAAAAGCCTATGAATAGCAGATAACAGATTTCGATAGATAAAGTGTTAAAGGAGCATGCGCTGCTTCATGTCCCTTGCCCAAAAGTGTACGGGGAACCAGTGTGAAGTGCGTCCACGATGGGCCCTCGCGAGTGCATTGCAAAGGAAGAGGATTAAACCGAGGCTTGTTTTTGTCTGTGCAGGGTTCACTGCCGATCCAACCCGGAGGCTGCAGCAGCGATCACCATTATCGGTGAGTAACAGTTTCGCGTTTACGGTGGCGGGAATGCAACCGCGCTTCATTCGGCATGCAAGACACGCGGCTGAGAAATTCAGTCAGCGACAATTCGCGTGGAAGGCTCGGTACCATTCGCCTCCGAGTCGTCCTCGGGAAAAATTTACGCGCGTCTACGGCTTTTGCTGGAGTATGGAAGGCTTCCATTTAGAGATTTATCGTTGCTTCGGTTGTTTATTCCTTTTTTTTTTTTATACTGGCTGAGAAACTGAATAGAATTATCGTTTTTTCCTCGACGCGCGTTGCAATGCTCGCTCGGTGAATGGAAATCAATTCTGTCGCGGTCGAAGGTTGGGATTATCGAAAGTGGAAAGAGCGTTTGTGACACCCTGACAACGCTTTGAACGCGGACAGTATAAATATAATTAACTTTTTGCGGCCAGTGTTGTGCTTTGGAGTTTAAACGGTAGAATTAATTTCGTGGACAGGTCCTGTCGGGATGCTGGTCCAAATATCTGTTTATTAATTTAACTGGACTGTCGCGATTTTCGAAAAATTATCATATAGTTTAATCTCTCGTGGCTGAGTTTGTACACGGTTTTATGCGAATGATGCTTGATGCCAAACTAGTACTTCGAAGCGGATGAACCGAGTGCGAAAAAATTGGAAAAGAGATCGCGCAATTTGCGGCTGGAGTGAAATTAGTGCCAGTTGCAGTCATCAGGCGAATGTAATAGATCTTGTGGAGTAATGTCAATTACGGTTTAGGTACAATTCGACCGAGTATGGCAACAGACCAACGTCATTAGTTGATGATTAGGTTGTGCGAATATTTCGAGACGTTGGAAGAAGAAGCATTATGGCGTTTAAATCTCTAGAGTTTCTGTGAGTTTGAGTATTTAAATCTCCGAGATCCCCACGAAGAAAAGGAAATCCATTTAAACCCCTAGGATTCTTGGGAAGAAAAAGTAATTTAAACGTTCAAATCTCGGAGCGATGAAAGTCTACGAAAAGCGTTGCTCTCGGGAAGGTTACGAGCTCAACCCGCAGATATCAATTCTACTTTTGATTATAATTTATTTTCTCGTTTCACGCGAGATGGAATCGGTAAACTCTGGTCTCGGGATCAAACATTCGACCGCAAAGGGTTGGCGAGCGATCTGACGTGGAAACTTGTTCCTCGCGAACGCCTCTATTACGTACAGGTCATCTCTCTCTCTCTCTCTTTCTTGCGTTACATGGATGCAAACAAACGTGATCGAGGCCGTGTTGAATGAAATTCAAATTGCGAAAAACGGTCGGGCACGTTCGTCGCCTCTAGTATTTTTCTAACGCGCCAGTTCTCGATTCGATTGGCTAGCTGGCTCCCAAGCACGGAGTGTCTTTGAACCAAAATCGTTCCAATAATACTGTATTGGTTTTGCGATACGATTCTTTTTCTTTTTCTTTTTTTTTTTTAAGGAGGAAAAGAGGGAATACGACACGTATCTTTTGTAAACTGTTCGGGTAGGTCCTCCTCGATACCGCTTAAGGGAGTAAGATTGAAATAATAGGTTAGAAAATAAATTTTCCTTTGATATCCTTGTCGTGTAAGGCCTTTGAAATATTTCAATTAAATGATATTTAAAAAAATGTAAAAATTGCCAAAATTACTCCTTTGTCCTGGATTGAAAAATAGGTTCCTTGTTTAATGTTCTTGTTGTTGAGGTCTTGAAAATATTTCAATAAAGTAACATTTAAAAAATGTCAAAATTGCCGGAGTTACATCTTGTTGATAAATTGACCAGGACTGTCCCTTTCCTGCTTGCTATTCTACCAATCGCCCAGTATTATTAACCATAAACTCCAACCATGATCTACGCTTACAAATCATAAATCCCAGCCCTCGAACCCTGGGTACTCTCTACCCATCAGTCATAATTCCCCATTACTCAGCGATCATAATCACAGATCCCAAGCCAAGAGTACCCCCAGCCGACCAATCTCTCTAAAATCTCTCGGAGCAAGAACACTGTAGCTCGAGTCCAAGCGTCGCAAGGCGAGAAGGCGAGAGAGAGCCTTCGACGGAAAATAAAAGGAAGCCTCGAGGAGCAAGATAGCAAGGATACGGTGGGCGCAGGGAGGCGAGTGGTCAGACTGGTGTAACAGGACGTTACTCCTTGGCTTTGCAAGGGCAGGCTTGTATTATTGCTCCGTCCTCTTTCGGTCCTCTTGCTCCTCTGGCTGCTCGAGCCTCCTAAGTCTAAGCTCGGAATGCTGCTGGGGGAAGGGTTACCGGCGTGGATAGACCCTTCTGGCGACGTGCTGCTTTCAAGGGTTCTCGTCGCAGGGTCAAGGAACGCGACTGATAGCGCCTCTCCACGGTTTCGCTATGTTTACGCGGGTCCATCGTACCGTTACCATAATCTCAGAGTCGACTCGAGACGCGCAGATGAGCTACATTCGTCGCGACGTCTGAGCAGCTTTTTCCCCTCGAGGAACCTGAGCTGATCGCGGAAAGCCTCCCTTTAAGGGCCCATTCTTGTCTGGACACGAAATTGGGGTATTGATATCTCGTAACGTGAGAACTACTCGCCGGTCTAGAACTCTACCGTTCTTTGTACATATCTTATCGATCTGTGTGGATCTTACCACTCAAGCGAAGCAGTTTGGATATTGTAGCGGCGACCAAGAGCCTGGATTAGGATGTGAAAGCTTGGCCGTGCAAAGCTCCTAATTTCTTGAAATTCATTTTGAACTAAAAATTCCTTTCGAGTGATAGGAAGATATCACACTTGTACAGTTTAGTTTAGTTGAAAATTTGTACGAATTAACCAGAGAACACAGTCCTTCGAAAATCCTAATTTATTCTTCTCCGGAAGGGTGAAGCCATTTTGTTTCCTTTAACCACGCCATCGTCATCACATATTTATCAATTCACTTCACGAAGGCTTGCATCGCCCATCGAAATTAATATTCAGGGTTTGAGAGTCGCTGCATCGAATTTTTTCCACTGATCTCGTCCGCTCCGCTCGTTGGACGGGAATGAATGAATTCGCGCGCCCGTCGGAATTCTCGCGACGCTAAATAAATTTCTAGCAGGCTCCTTCGTCGCTCACGCTTCCGGCTTGTACGTTTCATAGAATCTAATTTTAAGCGCGGCCAACCGAACGAACGGACGGACGCTGACAAGAGAGCTCGTTAGATGCTCATCTTATGGAAATAATTGAACCATCAGACGCAGAAAACACGTGGCCAGGGCGACGATCGATCGTCATTTCGTTGGACGATTCGTTTCGACCGAAATTAACGCACGCTGCCCACCAGAATTTTCAAATCTATCTCTCTTTTTTGTTCCTCTCGAATTCTATTGTTACGCTATAACGCACGGGGGCCCTCGAGGAACAATTTCGAATACAATTTTGAATATAATTTCGAATATTCTCCTCTGCTACGTTGATTTGTTTCTACCATGGAAGCTCGCTTTTCCAGGATATATATATATATATATATATATATATAAAGAAAAAACGTAATGCACGACGTCTGGATAATTTTGTAGGAAATATCCAGCAGTACAAAGGAATGTAAAATCTAAAAATAGGTGGCCAACGCAACCATCGATATACGAGGTTTAGTCGCTAAAGGTTGTCGCGTAGTTTGAGTTCCCGCTCCCGCAATCTTGGCTTGAATCGATCCTGGATGGACAAAGCAATCCTGGCAGTACCTGCTGGAAAACGCTAGCTGGAGTATCAGAAGGAGCGCGGGAAGAATCGCGCGTATTACTTGCTCGCTGGACTGTGAATTGCTGGCTCGCTGAACAATCCCATTTACGCGAATAATCAGAGTGAGGCTGGCTGGTGGATTCTCCTAGCGATGATCGTTCCATCCCCGACGCGATAAAAGTACAGCCATTCGAGGGGCGAATGCGTTGTTTCCAAGATGCAGAAAACATTCTGGCAAACGTAACCCTAACAGAGGACACGAATTACACTAGCGAAGCACAATCGTCGCTCAAGGGATTCATCAGCCGACCTCTTGGTGTATTCCTGCGTTGGTTGACCTCGCAAATCGGTGGGAATGGTTGTCGTTATATGGTCAGGGTCGAGATTATTCGAGGAATAGTCCTAAATTCTCATTCTGCTAGTGTTAGTGATGGTCGTAGGTCTGCAGAAATGAATGTTTGAGTAGATCAGTCTTCTAGTTGCACAAATTTCACAAGAAAACATCCGAATTACTTGAGTTCTACATATAAACGCGATGAAAAACTTCTTAGAAACTATAAAAACTTGAAACAACGCATCAAAGGTATTTCAAACTTCCCTAAACCTAGCGTTGAATCGCTTTCCACGCTTTGGAATCGAGCGTCCAGATTCTCCTATCATTGACCATTGTTTAGCGCCATTTCCTCCCTCTGGACGCGATAGCGATTGGTCGAAGGGCCGCAAGATTCGAGCAACTATGCGGTGCCAGGCAGCTTTGTACCAGCTTTGTTCAACGAAAGACGTTGTTCGGCGAGCTTTCGTTCATTTGTCGTGGTCATGTATAGCGGCGTTCACTGAATCGCACCGTTGTCCCTTGTGCTCCTAAATTAGCCTCCAGCTTTCTGAAAGACCGTTTCAACACTTTGGTACGCCGCTCGAGCGGAGACGATGCCATTCGACGAGTAGTTGATTAATCGTTTCGAGTGCCCTTTCTGTTGAGAGATTTTTGCGCTGCATTCGGGACCTTTCTAGTAAAAGCAGGTAAAGACCGGGAGGTATAGCGAATTAGAGGATGTAGTGGGCGCATAAATAATGTTTTTCAAAAGAGAATAAGCACGTAAATAAGGGTGAAATGTTTTCCAGAATAAGTTAGAGTATTTTATTTTTCGATAATAAAACACGCCAGTATAGGTAAGTGTGTTTATTAGAAAATAAAATCTCAAAGTACCTGTTGGAAAAGATTTAAAAATTCCCATCTTAACTTTTGTTCGGTAGTAAATGGTTGTCTCTGAGATTTTAATCTGAACAACAGTTTAGCCTCCCTTCGCGGAGAAC